TGCCTATGTGTTGGAGTATCTTAAATTCATTTCGTAGCAGAGTTTCTTTAGACTTTTAAACCTTGTATTCATTTTATGAGCAGGTCTTTCTTTTTCATCTTCTATACTCAGCTATCTATTTGTGAGTTTTTAATACTTATTTGATATATTACTTTGATTAACTATTTTGTTGAGCTTGTTACTTTGGCCTTTGGTCTTGAATCTTCTTGGGTCTTGACTAGGGCTTCTACTTTAACAAGGTTTTTGGTCTTTTGTTCTCTAGTTTTCTTTCTTTCACTTTCTTTAGCCTTTTTTTTCCTCTTTTGTATTGCTAAATTTAGTTCAGCTAATACTTTAAAGTTTGCAACCAGAGTCCTTAATTCTATCTCATAACTTTGCATTTGTTAGATTTCTCTTTGTTTCTGAAGTCTCTTGCTCTAGCCTGCTTCTAATTTTGACTTTATTTTAGCTATTTGTTTTTTCTTTTGCAGGATTTGTATCTTTTTTTTTTTGCTTCTTTGATTTTTTCTTAATCTTGTGATGTGCTACTATAGAAGACTTGATAAATTCTTTGAATTGATGCACTATAGATTTTAGAGCTGTTTTGTTATGCTGTCTTTGTTAGCTACTTCTTTGTTCTTGGAGTCTCTTGCTTTAACCTAAATCTATTTTTACCTTTACTTCAGCAACCTGTTTTTTTCTATTTATTAGTATTCTTCTTATTTTATTATCTAGTCTTATTCTTATTATGATATCATATATTTTTTCTTTTATAATATGATTAACAGGGTTTTCACCATCTTGCATTGCTTTATGAAAGGTCTCATGATCTCTTTCTATAAGTTCTGATGCTATGTATTCAAATTGATCTATATTATACTACTATAGCTCTTCATAGTAATCTTTTATTTGTTTATTAGCTAACTCTTTTGAAAGAAGCTTTTGTTCAGTATACTCTGCTATCATTTTTTTTACTTCTTCATCTATCTTTTCCTCAGATGATTTTGCTATTAAGGCCTGGATTTCTTTTAATACCACTTTCATCTTTCAGGTATTTCAACTTTTTTTTTCTAGACGCTCTGTTAATATTTGCTTCATATGATTTGTTGTTTTTCATTGTTGTCAAAAGATGTTGTTAGCTATATGTGTTGTGATTCTTGTATTACCAAAACAGATCTATGATTCAGAGTTAAGGCCGATTCTTTAAAAATTTATAAAATGCAAAAAAATATCGATGATTTTTTACAACTTCTATTTTTTCACTAATTCTACTTCTTTTACTCAAATCTTCTAAAAGACTGAGTATTTTTTGTGGTTCTTTTTCTCTTTTCTTAGAGCTCCGAGTTTAGTTTCCTAGTGGTCTTGATGTATTTTTTGTAGTTTTTGTTGTTTTGTTTTTTTTGAAAATTTGTGTTTTAATAATTAGCAAAAAGAGTTGTTGTAATAGACATAATATTTATTTATTTTTTTTTTTTTTATAGAACGACCTTATTGGTCAGAGTTTTCCTTTATTAAAGTATCTGCAGTCCGTATTTACGGAAAGGTTTACAGTAACATATCAACGAGGGTATAATAAGCCACACGTACAACTTTAGTCATTGTCTATTTAAGGGTTCCGCCTATGAGTTTCCCACTTATTGCTATACCTGAGACCTGCTTGTAGGTCTCCTAATTAAACTCTCTGATTTTCAATGTTATTCTGATCACATGAACTTTCAATTAAGGTTTTAATCTGACCTTCAGGCTATTTTACCTGTGAGGTAGATTCTACCGAAGGAGGTGGTTTCCCACAGCCATACCTTATCCAGATTTTTTGCGGCAGAGGTGATTCCATATTAGGTAAGGCCAATCCTTTCCACAAACGTTGACGATATTCTTCATATTTCTCACTATAGTAGTGTCTACACTCTGCCGTACCAGTTTCTTTCTGGGAATTTCTTAAACCAAAGATGTACTTTCACTTGGACTTCCACAGGGCTTCGCATGCGATATAGGCTCCTTTTAGATTATAGAGTATTTTACCTCTAGCCAAACTCGAACCATTGACCTTGTCTGTGGGAGGACGGGAGCTTATCCATTAAGCTATAGGACCCGAACCCCAATAGACATAATATTTTAAAAAAACATACTTGTATATATCATATATTTTCTGGGAATTGTTTGATGTTGATTAGTTGATATCATATGTTAAAAATCTTTTAAATATGAATTTCTCATTAAATATTTAATTAATTTGAATAATTTTACTACTATTAGAATCAGAAAAATCTATTATATAATATTTATTTTATTTTTATTTTTTTTGGTAATCTTGTTTTTATTATTTAAATCAGAAGTACTAGAACTTTATATTTGAATTAAATATAAAATTTCTATAGAATGAATATAAATAATATCAGGGCTATTAATAATCTACTCTAAATTAGCCAATCAAAATTTAAGATATACATATATAAATTATATATTAATATACTAAGAAACTAACTATTATCTATTAGTATTAGAGTTTGTATATTAATTAAAACCAATATGCAAAAAAAAGTTTCAAAATAAAATCTTTTTTTACATAATAACAAGAGATATATTAATTTAAATTATGTGCTGTGTTCACTTTAATTTTCACATTGTATCAAATATTTTGACTATTGTGCAAAACCTTTCATGTATCTTGGAGTTATTAATTTTAGTGATCTACTTAAATACGTATATTTCAAACATTATCTTTTTGATTGCTAGCAAAATCGAGATACAAAATTATTTATAGTTCACAAGCAAATTTTTTCAAGATCAGCAAATCAAGATTGGTAAATACATATGAATATACATATTTATGCATATACACTACTCGAATAGCATACAAAAAAGTTCGATTAGTTCAAAAAAGTATTTTTTTAATCTAAGACGATTCTAATCTAAAAGGGTATTACTAGCATTCACTATAACTCTAACTCCTAAAAGAGAATTTTTTTTAAAAAAAGCCTATTCTAACCTAAAAGAATATTATTGTTACTTACCCTAACCCTAACTCCTAAAAGAGATAAACTTATTTAAAAAACCTATTCTAATCTAAAAGAATATTACTATCGCTCACCCTAACCCTAACTTCTAAAAGAGATAATTTTTTTCTAAAAACCTATTCCAACCTAAAAAAAATATTACTATCGCTCACTCTAACCCTAATCTCTAAAAGAAGAGCATTACTAGTGCCTGCTCTAGCTTCAAAAGATGTTTAATGCAAGAATTTTATACAGATTTAGTAGTTAAAATACGATTCAATCAAAATTCTCATTTAAACTTTAGGTCAAATATAAATTTTGATTTCTAAATACAGTACAATATAAATTTATAAAATAATTGCACAGACCTAAATACAAATCTAAAATAATTTTGAAACTCATAATTATCTATTGTAATATAAAAATCTTACTACTATTTTATTTTTGCATCCAACTCTATAGAATTATTTTTCAAAGAGCAATTTCGAGAATCATGATATCATGATCTACACAGAGCACATTGATGCTTGTTTTTTTTCATTGATCCTGACACTGTTTCATTTTGATTATTTGAACAAGCATTCTTGGTACCATGATTCTCAATAGCTAACAAATATCTCTTGCTTGAAGGGTGACCTTTATCTTTATATTGAATTGGATTTGAAATCATAAATTCTTGTTCAGATAGTTCATGCGTGTTTTTTTGAATCGAAATTTGATTATTAATAAATTACTGTAAAAGACCTTTCAAAACCCCATTTGAGCTGCTCATCATTGCCATATCCAAGGCTTTCTTACAAAGTTCAAGACCACGACTATAAGTAGCTTTTTTTGAATCTGACTTTATAGCATCTCGATTATTAATTTCTTGTCCTCGAATTTTTTCTAATACTTGGAATGTTTCTGTTTGAAGTGGTCTATTATTATCTTTTATTACTTGAATAGATAATTCTTGACTTGTATCAAATATTAAAAGACCTTCCCCAGAGTACCAACGGAATGGTATTAACTTTATATAAAAGAATGCCTTTTTTAATTGAATTATTATTGCAAAAAAATGGTGACAAACAAATCCAGAATATATTAAATAAAAACATGTGCAATAATGTGTTCTATCATCAAGCAATACTACAAATTGCGAATGATTTGTAGTGCTTTGAATATGCTTAACCTTCCAGATTTCATTTACTTGGCTTTCAGTACAATTCTCTAAAGCCATATTCAATAATATTTGTAGCTTCTCATAGTCATCTTCTATAAACCTATATTATAATTTGGTTCTTATCAAATAGTAAATACAATTTTAGTTAAAACAAAAAAGAATATTATAACTTCCTAATAATCATTTTACTTAAATAGCATTGCGGAAAAAATGACAATCAAAAAATTGATATGTAATTCGCAAAATAAAATTAAATTAAAAAAAAATATATGTCTTATTTATATCATCAAGTTCATAAGAATATAATAAAGTTCTATATAAGAGACTTTCTAATATTTGCTTTTGTTGCAATACCAATGAATTTTGTGTGAGATACTTTTTATACATATCATCAATATTTTTAAAGATCATATTAGAAACATTAAGAAGACTAGCTGTTGGATTCATATTCCAAAATTCTTGCAGTTTTGTATATTTTGCTTCATCTTTTAATCACAATTCAATACCGCTTTGTAGTTGACATAAGAAATTTCCAGAGTTAGTCTCTAATTTAATAAACTGATTTATACTTTCAATACATTGTGTTGAATGTGTATTGGCCGAAAATTTTCGCTTTGTGAATACATAAGCCCAACATTCCTTAGTTAAATATAATACATGATCACAATACTCTTGAACCTCTGAATATTTGTTTATTAGCTCTATCCAATAACGATCAAAGTCAGATATTACAAGAAAATTTCATAGTAAATAAAAATTAGAAATAAACTCATTCCATTTGTCGTGAAGCCTTTTTAAATATGTTATAATAAAAAAAGAAAGATATTCAGATAGATTACAAACTAACAAATATATTTAAACACATATTAAGAAAAAAAAATACTTTTTTTAATTTTTTTAACCAAATATTGATGAATATGGAATACGCAGTGCCAAACTATAGTTTCAGGATATTGATTAGATAAAGCTACTTGCATTGCAGGATCCGCATCAGTAAAAATCACTTTTGGTTGAAGATTGCCAGTAGCTAATTTTGTTTGCTCCAAAATCTATTTATAGGTTGGTACAGTCTCATCACAAATCATAGCTGTAGCTGCAATTTGGCCCTGATGATTTGAATCAATTATAACAAAGACACTCAGAGGCATCATATATTTGTTTGTTTTGCATGTATTGTCATTAATAATAATATCATGGAACCGGGCCCACAGACTTTTTTGTTCAGGTGATATTCAAAAAATTCTGAAAAGCCTATTGTCTATACCTTCAAAATTAATCTTAAAATACGAATTGGGATTTTTTTGGTTTAACTTTGTTAAATATTCATACAAAGTCAATGCATCATTTTTGTTTTGAGCTTTGGATTTAAATTTGCTCATCATGTTATAGAGATCTCTATTAAATATTTCTTGTTCAAGAAACTTATTACGTAATATTCACCTTAAAACATTAGCTCCTAAATGACATTCTTGAACATAAAATCAAATTTCTTCTCTTATATATAAAGGTACTTTTTGAAAAGATGGTAAAAATTGTTGAAGTGATTCACTTTTACTCAAATTGTGAGTATGCTTCTCATTAAACTTGTTGACAAAGACAAGATTTGGACATTTTTGATATGAAACATTTAGCAAAAACTCACAATCAATATATGCTGACTTCCATTCTTGATTTTTCATAGGATCTACCTTTTTTTTGGTGAATATTTACCACTATGTGGCATTTATATATTTTTCGAACAGAAATATTGTCTTCTTTTTCAACTCATACTATCTTTGTTTTAAACCTCATTCGAGTTAAATAGTGTTTTAAGCATTGTTCAAGCACTTCAAAAGAAGTAAAGGTTTGCCCGATATGTATTTCTCTTAGTGGACTATTCTTAAATTCATCTTCGGAATTACCACCTTCAGATATGTTATTTTTAACACTTTTGGTTATGGGCTCATTTTCAAAATCATCAAATATATTGTCTTCAACGCTTTCACTTACACCTTTATAAATGCTTCTATTTATATCTTCATAAATGCTTTCATTTACACCTTTATAAATGCTTCCACTCATATCTTCATAAATGCTTCCAATTACACCTTCATAAACGCTTCCACTTACATATTTATAAACACCTTCACTTACTCCATAAATGCTTCCACTTGCACCTTCATAGACACTTCCACTTATACCTTCATAAGTATTTTCAAACACAGGCAAGATATCTGTAACATATTTAATAGACGGTAAAGCAAAGCCATCATCATTTTCCGAACGTGATGATATTTCATAATTCATATGTTCATCAAAATTGTTATAAGAACTTTGAGCTTCAAACATCTATATTTATATATATAACTTTAAGTTCAGCAATAAAATTCAAGCAAAATATCTGAAATGAGAATTCTACTATAAATTAAGATTTTGGTTTTCCAAGATACGTTAAAAAAGTGTATAGACCTAAATCACGTGATACATTAATAAAAAATCGATGCTACTATATATTTGTTCAAAAGTCCATCTGTATCTGCTTCTTTTTACTGCCTTTGTTTCAACAAATGACCTTTTTATTAAGTTATAACCAGATGTTTCTAATAGATGTAAAGAAAAAATAGAAAAAAATAGTAATATGTTAATAATAAAACTGTAAAACTAAAATCCTAGCAAGAGTGCTACTATATAAGTTTATTTGTATCTCTTCTTGTTTTCTGCTCTGTTTCAATAAGCCTAGTCTTATTAGTTGTCAGTTCACAGTTTCCAGTCTTTCTACAGTACTAGGCTGTTATCGAATGTTTCAAAGGTATGTAATGAAAAAAAGCATAAATGCCAAAAAAATACATATGATATGTTAGTAATAAAATAATAGAAGAAAAAATTTCAAGAACACTACAATATTTAGTCAATAGTCTATTTGTACGCACTTTTTCTTGGTTATCGAACAATAGTTTCTCTTCTTTTTTGCCCATTATTAGATGTTTTGGTATGTAAAAAAAAATTGCATAATTCTAAAAAAAAGAAAAGAACATGTTAAATTAACATTCGCATAACTACTTTTATTATTGCTTCACGTTTTCCTGTGCTCACTTTTCTACTTTACTTGTTTGATATTTGTTACATGAAGAAAACAAACGAAAGTAAAAAAAGTTTGATCATTTTGTGATCGAACATTCTATTTATTTGTCAAAAATAAACTCCATAATTACGATCAATTACCCAGATCTAATAGTAAAATGTTGTGTAATATAACCGATAGTATATATAGTGGATATTAATAACCTCTGGTATAACTAATATTTATTCTTTTCTATATTAGTTAATTGTCTAAAGATAGAAAAATTAATTATATATGATTATTTAATATTATAGATAAATTTGGGTCTTATATCTCTATATAATACTTAAATCTTACTTTTAAAATATAATATTTTTTTTTTTAATATTAAAATGAGATTATATCTTTAGTTTTTATTAATATATACTTATTATAGTATAACAAGTCTTTTATATATATGCAAATACAGAACTACAGAGATTTAGACTAATTTATCTATGATTTAAATCTACTAAAATAATCTATACTCTATATATATATTACTTAGCTTTGCATTTTCTAACTAACTATTTCTAGTAATTATTATATTTTTACTTATCTTACAATACTAGTTATAACTTTCAATTTAGAATACTAGATATTTGCTTCTAATAAGCTCTTAATTTGATGTATTTATAAATACAATTTATTGCAAATTTCTTATAAATCTTATTAGTATAACTGTAATTGGTATAGTTAGTCTTTTTACAATCTATATCTCAAACCAGAAACTTGCTTCTAGTTAGGTTTACTATATAACTAAGTTGGTATTGAATTAAAAGATTAAAACTTATCTTGGGTTTGTATTAACTAGAATTATACTGGTTTGTATTTTTTTATTTTTATAAATATCTAATTTTTCTATTTATTTGTTCAAGTACTACTAATCTATATCTCAACCAAGTTTTTGCTACTATTGGTTTGTTACTCTAGAATTTACTGTTTTTTTAGTATAGTAATATTAACTTATTTATATTTCCTTATATAGTGTATTACCAGAATTATATTTTGTAATACTGTTCTAATGATCTATTTTGTTAAAAACTAATATAATATGATAAAATTCTTTAAGTAGCAAGCAGCTTTATTTCTAACTATAGATCTTGCATTATATATATATATATATTTATTTTAATGATTTTATCTTTATTTTATATATCAGAAATAGATTACAAAAATATTTTTAGCTAGCTAAATCTATATACAAATCACTAAACTACTATATTTTTGTTCAAATAAAGATTCACTTGATTTGTCTTATTATTGCAGTAAAACCACAACCAAAGTCAAGAATTTTATACTAAAGTATAACCCAAGAGCGATCCACCTAAGTGACAATTTACTTTCTTCTGGGATCCTTAATTTACTGAGAATATAAATTCCAGATATCAACAGATAGGATTTACTGATCTTGTCAAAATTATTGCTCTATAATAGAGTACCGCCAATCTGATAACACTTTCTTGTAGAGAAGTAAAAAAGAAAAAAAGAGGTAAAAGTAAAATAAAAATAGAAAAAGTAAAAAAAAGAGACATATAAGAAAACAACCAAAATATAAGGAATTTAGGGCTATTAAAAGTCTGATCCTTTCGGTTCAGACTCCGTAAGCAGGGACTTTAGTTTGAAGTCAATCCTTGAGTCGAGTCTGTGCATATAATAATGTAGTAATAGTTATACATATATGATTTGATAATCATATCAATATTCAAATCTAAATTTTTTTTTTATTCTATTACAGTATTAATGTTAACAATATACAGTATATATAAAAAAATATTTATATTTTAAATTTTAATTCAAGATCTCAGCTTCGGACCAGCTTTTTATACACAGGGATGCTCTTGTAGATTCTTCAAGAAGGCTATTCCTTTGAAGATTTAAAGTATGCTTTGCTATGGAAAAAGTATGTTCGTATGGAATACTTGTTGCCTGGAGCACAAAGTAATCAGCAGCCATTAATGCTATATTTAGAAAAAAAGAGGCTCTTGTTTTCCATCACTACAGAGAATTTGTACTTGGCTCTGGTAGTAGTGAAAGATAAATATTAAGCTCATTTGATGTGATTTCTTTATTGTCATTCGTTTTTCCCAAATTTCGAAAGTATTCAAGAGAATTTTGTTTAGATTTTTTTGTCTCTTTATTTACATAATAAAGAGAATAAAAATCTTTTAAGCTTTTAATAGCTAATTTGTGATCAATGTTAGTGAAAGCTTCAAACTTGGTAGAGAGATCAAGAAGAGTCGCAATAGCTGATAATTTCGAAAGATAGGTCCAGTATTTTAATATTTTTTTTAATCCTAAATAAAAAAAAAATAAGCAAAACTCTCTCTCTCTCTCCACCATTTTTTAGTGGAGAGTTTAGGAAAAAACACAACGACAAACAAAACTACACGCTCAACCCTCAAAGTAATAACAAGGGTCAAGTCCCTTGTTCCCAGGAAACGAAAGCA